GAATCACAGCCAGCACCTGTAATTTCCAAAGCAATAAGCATGAATGATCAGAGTGGAATGCCTAGGCAACAGGTCACATTATTAAAGGGCAGAAGAATAAACACAGCTAAATACTACCTACTGGAAGCTAAGAAAAACTATTAAGAGAAAAAGAAGGTGACTTAAAGCTGGGAGAAGAGGACAAACACATGAAAAGCTAACACCTTCAAAGGGAAAGATCCATATTCTAGGCAAGCAATAATCTGTAACATAGAGTACATAGCACACTCACTAGGAAGTCTACAGCAGCAATTTGAGGCTCAGATTCAAAGCAGAGTTCTGTAGTTTAAAACAGCCTTTCTTCACAAACATTAAAAAAATTCCTAACTAAATTTCAAAGACAGTAGGATAGAACCTTGACATACCTTCTGCCTTACAACCATATCAAAGAACCAAAGCATAACACTCCTCCCAAAAGGAGCTAGACTATACATCAGAGAACCTGCTCTTCAATTAGAAAAGCTTGAAAACTCAGATTTCTCATATTTTTATTGAAATATTTGCCATAAAATTTCATTTGAAATGAGTGATTACCACAAACACAAAAATTTTGAAGAGGAAACAATTAAAGCAACTTCCCTACTCAGGCTTAGGAGCTATTTTTCCCCAAGACACTCTCCACCTTTAGAAAGCACCTAACACACCACAAAGTCACCATGTATTTGACCATTCTGGATAAATATGTTCTCCATTGGGAGATGCACAGCAGCAGGAGCCACTAACAGAGCTCCAGAAGGGCATAACAGAGGTGCTGGTATAGTATAGATTTGTTGTATAGATTTGCAGTGTTTTCATAACAGGCTACAGTCTTGCTTTTCATTCTTTTCCTGCTCATCACAGCTATCATCTCACTCAGGGTCTTATTATACAAACAGGTATAAGTACATAGAGACAAAATTCATCCTCAGCCTCATTTCCCCACACACATTAATACCTATTGGTATGACCACTACCATACTCAGCAGAAACAGGGGAGGAGGAAACTCCACTACAGAAGTCAAAGCTATGGGGCTGAGGGGAGAAAAGCAGAGTAAAGATTACTTGTACCTTACATAATCTGTCTCAGTGTGTCAAGCAGAAAATTGCTTTCCATCAATTTTCAAACAAATATTCACAGCATAAACATAACCACCTGCACCTTCCCACATGCTTCCTCTGCACTACAAGTTGTGCCCATAAGCTGCCACACACTTTGGGAGCTGCAGCCAAAAAGGATAGATATAAGGGATTGTACCTGTAACGTAACTGTAAAAGGAGGGAATAAATAGCACAGCACTATATGGCACAGAACTGAAGACACAGCAAGCAAATCCAACTGGAAGCCTTTGATTACACAGGGCCATTCCTCTCTCACTTTACCAGAAATGGAGGGGAGACTGATGGGGGATTTTGGAAGTCCAAATTCAAGCCACAGATGCAAACATGCAGTGCATCCTCTCTCTCAGGGAACGTGACATTCACAAGGATGTCACCTAGAACCAAGACCACCAGAAAATGAAAGTTACCTCTGCAGGTAACACCTGTTCCAAAACATGACTGGCCTCCCAGGTCCATCCTCACTTCCATCTCTCAAAGCTCCTGCTACAAAACACAGCCAGTGTAACCATCCTGTCCTCTTTTCCCAAACACATGCCTGTTTGTATTCTTCTCCCACACCATCCCTCTCCCTGCCATATAACCGCGTAGCCCTGTGACAGTGCTGTCACTGCTAGGAGCAATTACTGAGCTCGGTACCGCACTGGCAAGACCTCAGGACTAAAGCCTGTCAAGGCTTACTTTGGCTGAACTCCTGACCTCCTGCAACTGCTCCTTGATTTAGCTGTGACAGCAATTTCTCCAATTAACCAGGTGCCTATGCCCCATTGGTGCTACTGTTGTTTACCTGGGCATGCTGCAAGCACAGTTTCATATAGAATCAGTGACAAACAGTCACTGCACAGAATGAGATAATCACAAGTCCACAACAATAATGCAGTGTAGAGAAATACAGGCCTGGAATGGGAGCAGTGGCCTTGGGAAGGGAAGGGACAGGACACAGCAGGCACAGGCACATGCGATAAACAGAGATGGCTTCTACAGACTCGGCACAGGACGCCCCACAACTTGAGAGACGCTGGCTAAAAGAAACACAGACCTGAACAAAATTGGCTTTAGGGGTAACAAACAAGAAAGAAATAGTATTTAATGCACAGTGCCTTCCTCTTATTCAGATGTACTGTGGAGCTAGCTAACCACAGAGCTTCATGGAATAACCAGTGAGGAGCAAAGTCACATAACCAAGCACATAAAATGATCTCAAGTGGATCCTAGAGTGAGGAAGATGAAACCACAACCATGAGCAATCACACGCAGCTGGTGAAGGACACCTGAGGCTGACAGCTCTCTGTATCAGCTCACCACCAGCACCAGGATAAAACCACTGACCTTAGGACTTGGCAAGAGGGAGCACAACTACTGTAACTGCACTATTATTCTTTCTTTTTTGCAACATTAAGATCTGATGTAATAATAATTAGGCTCTCAAGATTTCAACTATTCCAACAAGAAATTCTTGACCTTTTCTTTAAGGTATGCTTCCATTTTTAGACATTTTGTGTTCACATGGCCACACCAGAGAGGCCTGTGCTCAATAATTCACACAGAAAAATATGTGCAGAGACACACAGAGAGAACGAAGCATCCAGCAGGTGCCAAGACTCTCAAAGCGTTCCCTGCTCACCAGCCACTAGCCCTGAAACAGCCCCAAGAAGCAGAGTTTCAGTACCCAAAGGCTCTTCCATGCACTTGGCATCTACCACACTGCGTACAAAGATGGGCACTAGGTCTTCTTTCCTTTAGAGCACAAATGTCCAACCCTTCCCTCTTCTTTCTCAAGTCACACTCAACTCACCTCCTCACCAGAGCTGGTCCCTCCTCACCAGAGCTATTCCTGTCAAATACAGCTCGTGAAACAAGTTGATAATGATACTGAAAAGCAACACATATGGTATGGCAAAAGGCATCAGGAAAAACAGACAGAAAGGAAAATACCTCATTGATAAAACACTCACTACCCAGAAAGGACCGGTAAAACTGAAACAGTTTATACCCTAACGTGATACAGAGTAACAGCCTTAAGTAAGCATCAATACATGCTTAAGTAATAAATTCTTAGAGATGAAATAGTATTTTGTGACACAGCTGTCATGTGGAGAACTTCCAGAGGAGAAACACTTAATGTCTCAGAGAAAAAACGTTGTAGTTTCTAGTTCATACACGTTTAAAGACATCAGTTTTCATTTAACTACCTGTCACTATCAAAAACTAAAACCACTCTTTGAACTGATAGTTTCTTTGTATTATTACTTTAGAGTGACAAGTAAAAATATATTCTCTCCTGCTAGTGTATATATATACATAATGTCATTCGGTCAGCATTCCATATGGTTAATACAGCTGCCTTCATAGGAAACTCTTCGGCACAAAAAAGTTCACAGATGGGGCATTGTCCACGACGATACGAATATAGCGACAGAGGCGACTCTCTTATCAAATAACCACTAAAATATCCATCATTTTCATTTATTAGGCAAGCGCACAAAACATGTAGATATCAGTGTCACAGCACGATCTATAGCACTAACGCCCAGTGAGAGATAAAAAATAATTAAGAAACCCACATATGAATCACTTCAATTGCACTAAGCAGCTATTTTTTAGCTGGAAATCGAGCTGCCTGCCCCTTCACGGACAAACACACGCACGGCCAGGCCGAGCCGGGCCTGGCGCGCCCCGCCTGCGATGAGGCCGCGAGCCCCGGCCGGGCCCGGCGCCTGACTCAGCGCCGTGTGGGCCGTGTCACGCCGCCGCGGGCGGCCCGGCGCGGGGGTCCCTGCGGCGAGACGGGGGAATGGGAGGGGGTTTCCCCGCATCCCTCACCTCTCCTCGCTCCGGTTCTTCTGCTTCTTGCCCATGGCGGCGGCACCGGCGCGCGCGACCCCTCAGCGCTGACCGCGCGCCGCCCCGCGCACCGCCCCGCGCATATGGCACCGCCGCGCGCCGCGCACGCGCCCGCCCCGCCCCCAGCCCCGCCCCGCCCGCGCCGCGGACCTCCGCGCGCCAGCGCCTCCTGCCGGCCGGAGGGGGAACGGGGCCGGCGCCGGCTGCTCTCGGGTGCTCCGGACAGCGACCGGCCGCGAGAAACCGGCTTTGTTCGCCTCACTTTGGACGTTGGGCAGCCTCCGGAAACGTCTAAGTGACGCCCCGAATCTTGTAGCTTCCTCCCCGCTCCTCAGGCAGCCCCGCGAAATGGCCAACAGATACCCCCAGTCTGCAGTTTCCCTCCAGCCTTCCTGCCTTTCCAGGGGCCCCAGGACGTCCTGGCAGGATTGTGGCCCGTTTGGCCATGAAACCTGACTGATAGTCAAAATAAACACGTTTGAAAAGTTTTACCTGGAGGCAAATGGGATAGCTAAGCCAAACTGGGGGAATTAAGAGACTGAAGGGGAGGTTTTCATGGAGCAGGGCAGTAGTACAGTGACCAGGGAGTCATTTTGGTGCGGGACTTGCTTGGGACACGTCCCCCAGCCCTTCACGGGGCTCTGCCGGTCCGTCACCCCCAGTACCTCCCCGCCTACTTTGTAGGCGAAGTGTAACCAGTGTACGATCTCCCCTGAGGTGACTGGCCTTCGACCTAGCAGGGGGGCCTAGGAGGCAGCACTGAGTTTATGGCAGCGACCTAATGGAGCTCCCACCAGGCATTTAAAGTACGGTAATTCCTTCCCCGCTGCCAGATTTCCTCAGTGTACAATGCTTTCCCTCCCACTCCCCTCCAAGGAGCCCAGGGAGCAGATGCTGCGCTCTCTCACAGGAGCGCCGGGGTCCCGCTGCTGCGGAGCAGGAGGAGGTGGCCGATGTTCGCAGAGATAGCGAGGCAACAAGCACCGTGTATTGGGGCAGAGGGGCTTCAGCGGCGACCTCACCTTCTTGTGGCCACTTTCATCCGGAGCAAAGCAGGATGGAGCAGAAATAACAACTCTCACAGGCAGCACAGACATCATTTCATGTATTTATTTAATAGACTTTGAGAGCTACACGTGTTCTGTTGTTGTCATCACCCTGCTACCGTAACTCCTTTGGTCAACAGAGCAAGGCTCACTGTTCTCTACACCTTTCAGCCTCAGGATCCCCAACGCCATACTGCTTCGCTCCCTAGCACTCTGACTTCTTACTTCCCTTTGCCTTCATACAGCTGTAGCTCCTTATCAGTCTCTCCCACCCATGCTCCCGGCCCACTGCAGATAAGGCCGAGTTTATCTTCCCACCGCACCTTCCCCGTCTTCGCACTTCGGTACCGGGGAGCCAGATTTCCAAGAAAGAAGAAAGCAGAACACATGTGTTACGTTTTGGGTTTTTCGGGGGATTGGTGGTTTGGGGATTTTTGTTGTTGTTGCTGCTGTTTGCTTTTCTAAAAAACCCCACGCTTTAATATCCCATTATTAATATGAGCGGATCTTTCAGCACACTTGCATAAGAAGCAAAGAGACGGCGAGCCGCAGCTGCCGGCACAGCCCGGTTCTCGGTGAGCCCGCCGGGGCTGCGCAGCCCCCGCAGCGTGACTTACCTCACGCCATCGCTCCGGGGCCGGGGCCCGGGCCCGGCCCCGCCGCTCTCGACCGCCACACGCCCGCCGGGACCTCATACCCAACCCTGAGAAGGAATCCCCGACAGAGCAGCGCCGGGCGCCGCCACAGTCCAGAGCAGCCTACGGGAGAGGAAACTGCCTTAGAGGCGGGGGGCGTGTCCTGCCCCGCCTCTCGCGGCCAAGCCCTGCCCCACGCAAGCACGGCGGGATAGGGAACTGCAGGGCGCCAGCAGGCGGGTGCTGCTGGCGGAGGCGGGAACACCTGGGGGCGGAGCTGCGGCGGCGCGGAGGGTGGAACTCCCCCAGTCCGCGGCTCCCACCCGCAGGTGCGGCCTACACACGTACACACACAGACACAGACACAGACACAGACACACAGATACACACAGACACACACACGCGCACACACGCGTACGTACCCGGCACGGGGCGCACGCGCGCCAGCGGGGCGCCAGCCCGCGGCCAGTCAGCGCGTCGGGACAGTTCCGCGGGTGCGCGCGCGGCCTCCCGCAGGGGCGCGTGCCCGCTTTGGCGGCCAATCAGCGCGTCGGGGGGAGTTCCACGCGCGCGCGGTGCGCCCTGCACTCACTCTCGCGATAGCGGCGGAGGGGCGCGGCTGGCGCGCGAGGAAGCGGAGGGTGAGCGGCGGGTGCCGGGAATAGGTTGGGGTCGGGGTCGCGGTTGCGGCCGCGGGCGGCGACACCGCCAGCACCGAGCCCGGGGCAGGGCGGGCGGCGCCCCGCCCCTGGCGAGTCCGTCCTGAGCCGGGTGCGTGCATTGTCTGTGGCGCTGTGTGTAGCCAGCCCGCGGAGGAAGGCGCGCGGCGCCTGCGCAGTGTCCGCGCCGTGAGCCGCCCCGCTCGTCCGGGACCCCGGCGCCGCTTCCCGGCCGAGCGGCGGAACCGCGGCCCCGCCGGCCGCGCCGAGGCTCCCGGCTCCGTAGGAAAAGCCTCTTGGCATGTGGGGTTCCGCGGCTTGGGAGCCGGGAGAGCGCTGAGCACCTCGAATGGTAGTGGGGACTGGCGGGGGTCGGTCCTGCTTTCCCTCCTGATTGCTTGGAGGAGCAGCCTCCCTTCGCCCCAGCTGAGCAGGTGCTCCCTGTGCCTGGAGACCTGCTGGCCTCTGATCTCCGCCGGCAAGGTTCACATTCCCTCTGGAAACATAAGGGGGGTGTGGGGGGGCAAGCAGACTTTGTGGTTAGCAGCTTTGGGAAGAGGGAGGCAGAGCGAGTGTGGCGGTGACACGCGTGGCAGCGGGCCGGGCGCTGCTGGGGCTGCGCTGTGCCCGCACTGCTGCCCTCATCTGCGAGCTTCTCCCGTCCGTGCTTAAAATGTTTCTCTTGCCTGTGTATGCACGGTGTTCCCAGAACCAGTGACGCTAGCAGTTCGCCTGCTTTGAAATACAGCCAAGAATACCCTGGAACGCAAATTCGGCACCGCAGATCCGTGGTCAGCAGGTTGACAGTCCCAGTAGGGTGACTGTGCACTGCCACTGTTTCAGAACTGTCAGACTGATAATTTTCTGCAGTGTAAGTTTATTGGGAGAACAGTCGATTGTGTTGTCACAACAGTTCATGCACCCTGGTTAGTATTCTGTGTCTTTTGATGTGTTTGGGCAGGGAGAACTTTACAGAAAATTATTTTGGCTGTGTTTCTTCCACAGCAATTAGGTAGTGGCTTTTAAATCCTCTTGCTGGCTGCCATAGGTTGCTGTTTGCAATGGCAATTTTCTGGAACTAATTAAAGCAGTGTATTGGCCTAGAGCATTTGCTGTTGAGCACCTTGTCTTTCTTGTAGCTGAGGAGAGGAGTGTTAATTCAGATTTATATATGTTAATGTGCCTGAGGGGCCTAAAGTAATTGCATTTAAACTACTGGCACAAACTTACATACTGAGCGTTGCTTAGACTTGTTCTGAGGCATCCTTTACCTCCCCCCAGCAGCTTGGAGCTTTCCAACTGAATCTTCTTGTTTTAGAATATTTGTTAAAGTAGGTACATCTGGCTCAGGATGAGCATCATTTTGGAACTGCTGAATTTTTCTTCTTTATATTAACAAGCAGTTTTAGGTTCCTGTGCACTTTCAGTAGCTGCCTTTGGGGCTGAAATAACAGGACTTGATTTGTATCTTTACCATCTGTGTTTATCATGAAAGTATTCTTCAAAGTGGGTTGCAATAAAGAAAAGAACTATCTGCTAACTACTCCTGTCTTCAGATAGCAGAGAACTTTGGTTTTTTGTGGTGTGAACTGCAAGCAAAGAGAGATCAGTTTTAATTGTTTGTGTAAATTCCTTGTATGTTAATTCCTTGTATCACTGTTTCCACAGCTCTGAAGAGACCACTTTCTGTCTAAAGATGGCTGCTGATACCTCTGTTGATATCCTTCAAAAAGTTCTGGAGAATGAAATACTTCAGTCAGCCAAGGTTGTGGAAGAACATCTGGATGCTGAACTACAGAAGCTGGACCAAATGGATGAAGATGAATTGGAGCGCCTTAAACAGAGGAGGCTTGAGGCCCTAAAAAAGAGCCAGCAGCAGAAACAAGTAATTTCTGTAGTACAGACTCTTGATGTGTAGAGTGTAACAGAATTTTTGGAAATTGTTTATGTGAACTAAGTGTTTTGGGGTTGTTTGGTTGGTTTTGTGGATTTTTCCCTTTCTCTCCCTTCTGTGTTTATTAATTTTAAATTATCCAGGAAAGTAAGTGTCTGTCCATGTGTGCATGCTTTGTGTTCTTTAACAGGGGGAGAGAAGCACCTCTGTGATTGTTACAGTAAGGAAAGGATGAGTTTCATACATAGATTTGAGTGTGTCCCTGTTTACTGAACATCGCTATCTGGAAGCATAAGTCCTGTAGGCAACCTAACCATAAGGCTTTAGGCTCCTTCTGAAGTGTCTTCCTTCTGAAGCTTCTGGATTATTACTTACAGCATGTGATATGTGCCCTCCTGTTAAGGTATTTTGTAGAAGGGCAAAATGGGATTTTTCCTTGTTTCTAGGCTGGAATCACTTGTCACACTCCTGAGCCAATGAAATCTTGGCTTTGTATGACTGCTCATTTCCTCTTACAAGAAAGAAATACTCCCTTGGGACCTGACACCTCATGTCAAATGAGGTCTTTATGCTCCCTCAGAGCTCTTTTTGAATAGTTTACACCATAATTTTGGTAACATATGGTGTGAGACCTGAATTATAAGTAAGGAAGCTGTAGGTTTCTCAGCTTATTCCATCTAAGCTAACCTAAACAAGAAATTTATTATGGTGGGGGAGAAGTGGCTTGGCTGAAAGGAGATCCTGGCTGTGATGGAGTCCTTAAAAGCTGATGGCAGATTTGAAATGGGAATGCAGTGAAATGTCATGGCATGGCTGGGATGCTGGAGGACAGGCGGCGCCAGCAGCTTTGGTCTGTAAACACAGAAATAGAGAAAGTGGCACACTATTCACTTGTCTTCAGAAGTTCAGTTTATATTTGAGTCTAGTGTCTTCCTTTTTCAGAAGTCATAACACTTAGATATCCTTGGATGTGAACATGTGATAGGTCTCATGCAGAAACTTCTTCATGGGTTTGGGTTTAAATCACTGTTCTCACACACTTTCAAATGCAAATGTGCAGTAGGATACTGCTCAGTAAAAGGAGTGTGCTGTCACACTATTCCAGAATAAATCTGTGGACAGGGGAATTAATGCATCATCACTGTTGAGGGATAACTGAGTTCTTGATTTGAATCATGATGACTTCTTCATATGCTCATACTTCCATGAATTTTTAATGTATACAATATTCAGGAGAGTCTTTGTTCTATCCTAATTTAGCTTACAGGATATCTTTGGTTCGCTTGGAAACGTTTTTTTTCTTTCACCTTTTTAAGACAAAACTGCAAGATTAAGAACAGTGATTCATCTAAATTTTTTTCCCCCATTGGAAAATTAAGGTTTTTGTCAAATTTTGTCATACTGCACTATTTCTAATCATGTAGATTAGCCTGTACTTGTTTAAATACACTGCAATTACCCTTTAGTAATGTAGAGGCTGTGAGTTTTTTCCTTTAAGTGTGTTTGTTGAAAATGTGGAAGATTAGCTCTTTGGAAACTGTGTTTGCACACTTAATCAGACAGTTATTGAAGTTACCTCTAAATTTTAGCTTGTGACACTGTTTCTCTATCAGTGTTATGACTGATGGTGCACATGTGTTTTCTGCATGATTTTCTGTGAGCCTGGTTCATGTTAAGATCCCTTCAGTGTATATTTGATAGGTAAACATCATTTATTGCAGATGAGTTAGTAGGCTTTTTCTCTCACTGAATTTTTAAGAGTTTTTGTTGTATTCTTTGAGCTACTCTTGTCTTACTGAGAGGCTGCATTGCAGAATTTTATGTAGCTCTGTACAAGATTTGTATTTTCAAATAAGTAAGGTGGCCTTATCTGTGTATCTTTAAAACAAAACTAAAGGGGAGGAAGTAATTCATTTCTCCACTACTGTATGAAATGGGTTTTTACTGCAGGCCTCCTCTTCCATTTTCTAAAAGCTGTAGAGTTTGTACCACAGATAGACTAACAACCTCCATACTAATTATTTGCTCTCATGTTTTTCAAGGAGTGGCTTTCAAAAGGACATGGAGAATACAGAGAAATCCCAAGCGAGAGAGACTTTTTCCAAGAAGTCAAAGAAAGTAAAAATGTGGTTTGCCATTTCTATAGAGATACAACATTCAGGTATAGTAACTAAGCTGTGCTGAAGAAACTTTTGTTTAAAGATGTCTACAAAAACAAATGTGTTTTTTGTTCTTTCAAATCTTAGTCATGAACAAGCATTTTTAGAAGTATTCACATTGCTTCATTACAAATCTCAGTCACTTTTCAAGACATTTGATTTTTTTTCTATGTATTTTTCCACTTCAGTTAATCTGAACATGATTGGATAACAATTCATATTCTGCTACATAGTTGATTAGAACACAGATGTTTAACCTCTTTGACAGTATTTGAGCGAGTGCTGTGTTTCATTATTGATTTAGTTTGAGGCAGTTGGATCTGTAAATGTAGACCATACAAGAGCAGCCTTTCAAAAAGATGGCTTTGGTTACTCCAGATCTGGGTGGTTCTGGCAAACAGGAAAATATGCCCTAAATCTTGTCTAGACATCTTGAGAATTTAACCTTTTACTTTGAAAGGATCAGTTGCAGCTGCTTTCCCTTTGTGCCTATGCCTTTGTGATTCTGTCACTTTTTTTAGAGTGTGAGACACCAAGATCTGAGACTATGTGGTGACTCAGAATAGGAACCCAAAGTAAGATGTCCCACTTCCTTGGAAGAATTTTGGAAGTTCTGGGCTGTAGGCTGTTCCTCATTGGGTCTCTCAATGTGTTCTGTTAAAATGCAGTAACAAAGTAGAGTAGTTTATTGAAGGAGGAGCCAGTTGTCCTGGTTTTGGTTCTTTGGGGTTTTTTTTCCCCCCAAAGGTGTTATGTTCTCCCTAGCTTATAGAATATAAACTGAAAAATCTTCCATGTGAGAAATTGAAAGAGGTTAAGGCTGGATTTTGCAGTGAGGTATCTGTGTCCTACATTTCCTACGTGTTTAAAGCAGTTGTGTTTGGCTAGTTTTTACTCAAGAGGGTGAAAGGCTATCACTGCAAATAAAGTAGCTTAGGACAGGTTTTGGTTCTTGTTTCTTGAATCAGCAAAGTGTGTAGGCTCAGACAGGAAAAAGAACTACTGAGAAAGTGCTTTGTAAAGTGTGTCATGCTGACAAACAGGTTGAAGCTCATGTGTTGGGTTTACCAAACACCTTATCAAGTTGCTTTCATCTTTGCCCAGTCCAGCTTTTTTGATCTGTTCAGCTCTCCTCTCAAGTTTAAGGACAGTCACATCACAGAGTTCATGCAGCTGAGCCAACCCACTTCAAGAAGGCTATCCAGAAAGCTGAGATTGCAGGTGATGAGTCCATGAATCTCGCTGGTCTGACAAGTATTTTGGGAGTTCACATCACTGCCCCATGGCTGAGAAACTGTAGTTGTATGCTCACTCCTATTCCATGGCAACAGAGAAGCCAAGTATTTTTGCCTTTAGCACTATTGTGCAAAGCAGTCTGTGCAAATCACTTTTTTTTACTTACACTGAGTTACTGCATCTCAGCTGTGAAGGTAGTGACTGCAAAAATACAGAACACTAACACATTGAGAGTACTTCTCTGAAGAAATCTTCTACAGAGAAATTTTTCCAGTTGACAGGCAGTGAAGCTAGAGCTGGAAGAATAGAAAGAGCTGTCATCAGTAAGTGCAGGCCTCCAGAAATGAGGGTGAGGCTTCCAGGTGTACGGAAGGTAATTAGGAAGAAATTAGAGAAAGGGATGGTATAATTATACAGTAGAGGTGCTCCGAGCTGTTCCACTATTAGTCATTAAATCCAGCTACCTCTGAAACATAGTTTGTCTTGAAACTAAATTCTCTATTACAGAGGTAATGTCTATATTACCATGATAGAACTAGTTCTTTACTGCTCCTTTCAAACTTCCTCTCAAATGCATATTCGTCAGCTTATTTATTCTAACACTTTATATATTTTGGGTTAATTTTTCCACAGGTGCCAAATAATGGACAAACATTTGACTGTATTGGCAAAAAGGCACATTGAGACAAAATTCTTGAAATTAAATGCTGAAAAATCTCCTTTCTTGTGCGAAAGACTGCGCATCAAAGTAATTCCCACTCTAGCACTAATAAAAGATGGGAAAACACAGGACTACGTCGTGGGCTTCACTGACCTTGGTAACACTGATGACTTCACTACAGAAACCTTAGAATGGAGATTAGGCTGTGCAGATGTAATTAATTACAGGTAATTAAGTCTTTTGTGATTCCTTTGTTTTCAGATTAAGTACAAAGAGAATGACCTTGCAGACAGGGGAATCTGAAAGGTTGTAATTTTATTATGTTGTATGCTAAAAAAGACATGTAAGAGTTTAATATAGTTACTTAATCTGTGTGCTTCATCAAGGGAAAGAAGATAATCTCTTTGGCAAAATATTGAGACATTGTAATGAGTGTTGAGGTGTCCTTTTTTTAGAGTAATAAAAATAAACCCAGTTCTTGTCATGAGGTGTATGGAGTAGCAGTGATGCTCTGATATGGCTTCAGTGTTGTGCATGTAATGTAACCCTATAGCATCTAGAGATGCTTCATGTCACAGTTGCGATGCAGTGAAGTCTGAGCATTTTTCATCCACTTCAGAGAAAACTCAGCAAGTCATCCTTAAACTGCATCTAAGTCAGTATTACATACATGAATGTACCTTTTTCTTCAACAAACTGTAGTGAAAATGGAAAATAATTCGAATAAGTGTAAATAAACTGAGTAACAGTACAATATAATCATCATAAGTACCTTGTTAAAGACTACAGAACAAAAGGCAGAAGAACATATCTGTCACCACAATTGCCTAACTTTACTGGAGAATTATTTACCAAAATTCTGCTTTCCTTTCCAGCGTGGTTCAAGTGTCATCTCTCGTTTTAGGTTAATTTTGCTGTATTGTTTTGAATGTTTTTAGTGCACTTTTAAAATTTAAATTTCATTACCTAATTTATTTAAATGTCTAATGAAGTAAAATTTTGGCAAGAAGTATTGTATCTTAAAGCCAAAGAAACTACTAGTCAATTTGGCTTAGTAGCTGTTGAACTTTGGGTGAAATCACTGAAACTTACAATTTTAAAACAACTGGTATTTCCCAGTTCAGTGAAAAACAAAGCTTGGATGCAACAGCCTTTTATGGGAAAAATCCTTCACTGGAGTTGTATCAAGCACCGCTGAATTTGCTAAATGCTGATTCATTGGCTTATGGCATAATGTTACTTCTACTTGACTCTACTAGTACTGTGTATTTGTTCTTAGCTCCTTGTGGAGTGGGGGAATTTTGTTCTTCGTTCCTTTTGGCAGACCCTGGCTTTGCAATGCAAGCCACATTTCCAAACTGTTCTGAAACAGTTCCCACTTCCCTCTCTCTGGAGTTCCTGAAAAGGGCATAGGGCCTCCTCAGAGCTTAGAAATAGTTCTTTTCCTTCAACCTGTGGGATGGTAAAAGGGTATACTTTATTTAGGGGAAAAACTGTTCAGATCAGATTATTTGCCCAAAATCAGGATTCAAGTGGTATGTTAACATATGTGATTAAGTTGCAATCTGTGAGCTGTATATTTAGGATTAATATCAGCAAAAGAGTATTAACATTTTGTAAAGAACTACAAATTTCTAAACACCCCTTTATAGCTAATTGCAGAAGGTTGCAACTGTCGTAATTGCTCGCTCACTCACTCACTTGGATGCAAACCCCTCAGAGGTCATGTGAGCAAAAGCAGGGCACACCCTTTTCTGAGCAGCCAGAGGGGATTCCCCTCCTTGCACAACCCTGCTGGAAGAGAAGTAGGTGCTCCAGTTTCATGTGAAACCTGCTGCTTCCAACAGGGAACACAGGCCCATTCCCATGGATGCACATCCTGCTGAGAGAGCCCCTGCAGGATCATGGGGGCACTCTGAGGTGTGAGTTCCTGCAGGGAAGAGATAGCAGAGATAGCACAAGGTGCCTTCTGGCAAACCCCAGTTCTGACTCCAGAGTCCTTGTTAGCAACATTTTAGCTTCTTTTGTGCTGGTGCTTCCTCACCTGTTTTGAAAAGTCTCTCTGTAATTCCCTAATTACAGTTAATCTGACAGACTGTCGTCTTTAGCATGATGAGTTTGCAGGAAAAGCCTTTTCATTTTACAGCTCCATTTACAGGTGCTGTTTACTTTCACACTCCTGTTTTAACTCGAGTTATCCAGGCCATTTTGACCAGGATGTGCTATACTAGCAACACCACAGTGCTGCTTAGGGTACAAGTAGGCATTGTGTTCTCTTAGACTGTGTTTTTCTGTAGAAACAGGTCATTAGACATGATGCTTACTGTCTGGATGAATATGGCTTTAATCAATTTGTCTTACCCTTTTTCTGTAGTGGAAACTTGATGGATCCACCTTTTCAAAGTCAAAAGAAATATGGAACAAGCTTTACAAAGCTGGACAAGAAGACCATCAGAGGAAAGATATATGATTCAGATTCTGATGATGACTAGAAGAGCCGCTAAATATATTTGTAAATCATCTTTTGTTTATGCGTGGTACATTTCTAAGAATGTTTTTTATAAAGCTTACTGCTTTTCATTACATCTGCACATAATTCTCATTTTTCTATACAGTTTTATACAACTGAGTCACAGCAGGAAAAAGCTTAAGTATTTTTTTTCCTCTTTTGGAAGTCATTTGTAATTTGAAAATCTTAGTCCTTCTAACTAAATGACATGGCAAATGATGAACTTAAGCCCTTTGTCTTAAGTATAAGTTTATGAAATGTTTTGAAGTAACTTAGAAACTGCTGTATGAAGTCAGACCAAAGGTCCCTCTGGCCCAGGATCCGGTCTCAGTGGCTAAAAGGAGATGCACAAGGAAGAATGCAAACAGGGTGACCAGATAGCAATGCTTCCCCACAGTCTACTTTAAGTAATCTGTGGCTTGGGGAACACCGTATCTGAGAGCGTTTGCTGCTTAAAATAATAGAAGAAAAATCTCTTTAAATCCTCTTTTAGTCCTTTAAATCATAATATCCAGGCATCCACATCATGTGGCAAGAAGGTCACAGTTTAACTGTGCTGTGTGAGGAAGTACTTCCTATTGTTTTCATTGAATCTAACAAGGTTTTTTTCTGTTTTTCATTATTAAAGGAGGTAACATCACTTCTAAAAAAGATTGTTCTTTATAAGTTCCTCTTCCAGTTGTCTTTTTATATTTATTATTACTTACATTATCAGTAAAGCACCACAAAAGTATTAGTAAAAAAATTGTGCATTTTAACGAATAATTGCTTTTCTTATGGTGCCATATCATGCCATTGAATAAATTAACTGCATTGCACTGTAAGTTGTAAAAACAGTCATAACTTCTGTGAATTCTGAAATAGATGGCCAAGAGAAATGCCCTTTTACCATCTACGAATGCTGCATGTCAGAGCTGATACAGCAGGCAATAGCACATAGCAACAAGCATATTGAAAACAGCCTTGTTCACGGGTTTGTATCATTCTGTGGTTGTGAATGTGTGGATTTTATAGCAGATGCTTTGTACAAGAGAGTAGAATAGAGAAAAGTATTTGGGAGAAACCTTGATCGTTAAGTTTAGATATAGTGCCGCATACTGTGTACTGTTCTTCAGTGATGGACAGAATTTTTGAGATCTTCCTTGGACACAATGTAAAATTCCTGGCTAGGAGAACCATTGATGGGTTTCTTTTTCATTTTCAGAAAAATTGTTTGCTTTGTGCTGAAGGATCCTTTTGAGGTGGTACTTTGAACCCAGTTGGTCCAAGTAGCAGTGAAGTGGGTCTAGCCAATCTTGCTGCCTTGTAGTAGAGAACACTTGTGATTGGGCCAGCCCAGCAATATATCTCTTTAAGTTTAAAAAATTATATTTTATTTCTGTTCATGTACATTGAAATAAAATTATTTTAATTCTAATGTTGACTACTGTATCCTTTCAAAGAAGATCTAGGTGTTGTGGAATAATTTCTCTATTAATCAAGTCCATCAGAAAGTTTGTTTGAGCCCTTTCTAGTTTTCTAACAGGTGATACACAGTTCTGTCCTAACATACAGGATCACTTGGAGAACACAATCAGCTTAAGACGTACACAGCTGCCCATTGATCTAGGAGAAGCATAAAGGAGACTTGCTTCACACTGATCACTTTTTTAATGCACAAGGCTTTAGAAAATGCTCCTTTTTTCCCCCTGCATCCAGTTGCATGAAATTCAGGAGACCAATGTTCCAGCAGTATTTTTACAAGTGTCTTAGCAGGAGTCATCACTGAGCCCTAATTGTGTTGAATAAGCTGTGGAAATATAAAATCACCTCTGATGTAGCTGCGTGCTGTGTGGAAACGCGTGGGCTTGCCAGGATTCCAGCACGGTGCGTTGGTGGAGGTTACTCAGTTCCACACGTGAATAGCCTCGTTACAAACTCAGTGCAAATCCTACTTGGAGTCTCTGCTTTCATGTCACTTTAAGCTGATGATTTTTTTTTTCTAGGTTAATCTTCCTGGGACCTCTTCCTCGATCAGGCTTGTAACATGACCACACATACTCTAGTGCTGATACAAGGAGTTTGCAGGAATGTGTGGTTTGGGTAGAATCAGGCTCAGGGAATGGGCTGGGTTGCAAGGGACCCTAGAGATCATCTAGTTCCACCCCCCCTGCCATGGACATGGGTAGCAAGGGAAGTTGAGACTGTCCATACTGTAAGTTTAGATTTATTTTGAAAGTAGTAATCTCACAGATTTTCTCTTCAAGTCTACTTTCATGGAAACTTTTCTTGTTTCTGTATATTCTGTCTTCAATGAACATTAAAACTTTTACTGAACAGTCCTCTTGGTTACACTTCCATCCTGCATATTACTTTGAGATGAACAATTCAAACCCAAAAATTTTATTTTTTGCTGAAACCTAGAAGTTCTTTAAGAAATGGGAAATTCATCTAGTCTGAGTAGTGAGGATCAAATTACTCTTCTGTGGTAGAGTTTAATGATTTTGCCATTCAGGTTAAGTGAATGAATTGTCCATGGTATAAGACTTGGGACAGCAAGCTAGAAGTGTCATGATACAGAGAACACCATCTCAAATAAATGTGAGCTGTACAGACTTGAAAAGCAGAAAGATAACTTTGTCAACAGCAATCTAGTGACCATATGGCTGATTGATGAGATGCTAATGATTCGCAATATGCAGAAGAAATGCAAGTTTTATGTGATTAATTTCTTACCACAGATGGATGAGGTATGTCAGGACATGACTGACTAAAGTTCCTGAGCCTAGACCAATCACAAGATGGTGCCTGGTTTGCCATGAAAGGTTGTTAGACAACAAAGATGAGAAATGTTCAGGTATAGCTTGGGAAGTGATGGGGCTTATGCCTGAACTCGGCATATAATTTTAATAATGATTAGTGCTTAAGTCTGTGCCTGATGCTTGGTATGAAATAATAAAAGAGAGCACAAACGCAAAAATAATAACCAAACAAGATCTCAGTTGTTCAGCTCTTGATGCTGAACTTTGTGGACACGACTGGACACTCCTTGATCACTGACTGATCCTGGCTTTTTCTCTGTTGCTAGAATTCTACCCCCAAGTGAAGTGCTGAGCTGAGCTTTGGGATCTGAGAGTGTGAAGAAGTCTGGTCCAAGAAAGAGGCAGGATGAGAAACAAATTCTGGAGAGAGCATCAACTGAGTAGCTGCTCTCAGACCCCATTAGTAGGCTGGATTACCTGCAAGTGTCACAGGGGTAGAGGGAGGCCAATTCAAAAGATGAATTGATGTTGTCAAGTCCTATGTTACAAGTAATCCCCTTTTTTTCTATCCCCCATCTAGAAATACTAAAATGAAGGCTTTTCTACAGAAATTTCTATAAAAATTTGGGCTTTGACCAGTACAGTTTCTAAGACAAGCCCTTTGTCTTCCCCATAAGGGTAAAGCTGGTGTTCTCAACCCAGTGTGAGGGATGTTGTCACTTCATCTCTCATATATACACAAACAAGCACTAGGTGCTGAAGAAATAACATGGCTTTTGTACTCATTGCATATACAATAGCTGTGTAACCCACTTTTTGAAAGGAAAATTCTGTCAGGAGTGGCTGATCTGTCTCTTTAGAAGAGCTGCCTGTGACAGTTTGAGAGTGAGAGTTATGATCTGGAGCTGAAGAAAAGCCTCTAAGAATCAGAAGGTGAGGGTACTTGATGTTACAGTAGTCTGCTTGAGAACTCCTCTGAGGAGTATGTTGTTCCTGAGCCACATTTAAAGGATAGAGATAGCTTCCACCACATTTGACACAAAAAAGGTTTACTCTGATCTTTTGTTCTTGGATCATGCTTGGGAGCCTTCAGCATTCAGCCAGTCCAATATGATTTGTGGTGATCCAAGACATTGTGGTCTGCCAGTTGCTCCTTGTTCCCTGTCCCTCTGCAGAGCACTGTTCCTGTATCATATGCTACAGAAGGGAACTTATGTTCATCTACTACTTCATCAATTATTGATTATGTACATCACCTACTTCATCAATTTAAGGTAACACATCACACTGGCTAAAGCAGTACTTAACACCCCAGAGCACCACCCAAAAATACCTTGTTCAGATTTGGTTAATTAAGTGCATCTAAGCTGAGAAATACTGGGTGCTTGTTGATGGAAAGGAAGTAGTTAAGAAAACTTACTTTTAGACAGCCCATAAGGTGCATATTCTAAAGCTACTTTTTTGGGTTTTGATTAATTGTTACAGCCATGGCTTGAGCTGCCTAAACTAAGCCAACCCTGGTGTAGTAGCCAAGCAGCTGTGTCAGCTCAGTGTTGAATCTGTGTTAACATAATTTGCATTTTGGAACACAGCCTGTTCAAGCATCACCCACCTGGTGGTATGACTTCAACATGTGACTCTTATAAAAAAGGTTTAAAAATTAACTTACCTTCTTTGCAAACCATGCAATATCCAGTAATGATTGGCTTTTCCCAAGATTACATTGTATGAAAATCAGATGATTGATACACAGAACAACATTAATTACCTTCCAGATCTACTTCCTCCTTGCTAATTATTTCTTTTGTTATTGCACCACCCTGGAAAAAGCCTGAAATGGTTTCCTGTTTGTTTTCTAGAATGTTAACAGTCTTCAATGCTTTGTATGATTAATTCCAGGCACACAGAAATGTCCTTAATAGTTATCATCAAAACACAGAATAGTTTGGGTTGGAAGGGACCTTAAACATCACTTAGTTCCAAGCCCAATGGGTAGGGACATCTTCCATGACACCAGGTTGCTCAAGCCCCTATACAGTGTGGCCTTCAACACTTCCAGGGATGGGGCACCCACAGCTTCTCTGGGCAACCTGTTTCAGTGTCTCACACAAAGACTTTCTTCCTTGTATCAAACCCAAACCTACCCTCTGTCAGTTTGAAGCCATTCCCCCTTGTCCTATCACTACATGCCCTTGTACAAAGTGCCTCCTTGTACAAACTCTCTTGTTTGGCCCCTCTAGGTAGTGGAATGTGCTATAAGGTCTCTCCAGAGTCTTTTCTTTTCCAGGCTGAACAATCCTAATCCTAGCTTCTCTTCACAGGAGAGGTGCTCCAGCCCTCTGATCACCTTGGTGACTGTCCTCTGGACTTGCTCCAGCAGCTGCCCATCCTCCTTACTTTGGGAGCCCAGATCCTATGAGACTGTAGTGGAGGGACAGAGTCCCCTCCCTCAGCCTGCTGGCCACAGCTGACTTTGCTGCAGCCCAGACACAGTTGCCTTTCTGGTCTGTGAGTGGACATGGCTGGGTCATGTTGAACTTCTTGTCAACCAACAACCCCAAGTCCTTCTCAGGGCTGCTCTCAATCTATTCATCTCCCTGCCTATATTTGTGCTTGGGATTGCACCCATGTGCAGGACCCTAACTTAGCTCAAACTTCAAATTACTTGCTTTAGATGATCTGTGTTTAAGATGGGATGTGAACAAGCTTTCATAGGATCAAATCCAGTGATATTTTTGCTAGGACACCTTTCCTACTGTAAAATTTAAAACTTCATTTTAGAGAACAGAAGGAAAACACTTGTTTCCCTCCCTCATAAACACTTCTGGTCTTAGATACTTTATGTGAAGGCCAGAGAGATGCAGAGGGGGATGTTACTGCAATGCTCATCTGCATTCCTCAGAAAGGCAAGGTAAAGGAAAAGATTGGGACACTCAGCACTTGTTCACTTCTGAATAGTGTGAAAACTGACCCCCTGATGTCTTACAAGTTTGAAGACTTTTGAAGATGTGTAAATGTGGTGCTCAGGGATGTGGTTTAGTGGTGGAATTGGCAGTGCTGTGTTAATGGCTGGACTCGATGATCTTAGAAGTGTTTTCCAACCTAAATGATTCTATGATTACTTCCAGGTATACTAGATGTTAGAAAGAAGAACTATGGAAATGTAACTATTAAATTGGGTGTGTCCCTTTAAAAGCTGGGAAGGACAACTGTAGAGGATTTGTCTGAGATGATGCTACAGATGCATCTTTAACTGGTCAGCTAGTGGTAGGTATCCACCCTACGTCAGCATGATGGGCAGCTTCCCTATAAAGCAGTTACAAAGTCTGAGAATACCTGGTGTTACCTGTAATTACATCCCAGATAAAAGGAACAACCTGGGAAATTCATCTGCCTGTCGATGTTATGAAACAGCTGAAACTCACAATGGAGACAATAATTAATGTGAGTATCATTCCAAGTAATTTTAGATGGTATTCTCATCACCCAGTGACATGTGATGCTAAACCCTGCAACCTGAAGGAGAACAACATGTGCAGCATGTAGTCCTTTCCAAACTGATGCTCCATTTTGATCAGTTCTCCGTCAAGCAGAATGTAAAAAACTTCCCTTGGCATGAGGGGGGAAAAAATATAAAGTGAAAATCTGTGGGTAGGAAAGAACTGTTGGTATGAACCGTGGTGTGCTTTAGATCTCAGGAGTGGTCCCTTCTAGTTTATGTAAGACAAGTGGAAAATACTATTGTGTCAGGTAACATTTTTTGCCCACTCTGCTCTCCCTTTACCCGAATGTAACCAACAGTGTCATTGACAAATCACAGAGAAAGTGTGTCTGTGGTCACTGACTGCAGCTTAATGCCAGGATGCCCATGAATACCAGGAACCTTTCCTGCTTCCTAAATTTAAGAAGATGCAGATACTATTTGCTAAGTGAACTCCTCCTCTTTCCTTGACTTTCCATCCCTTCCCTCCCAGTCACACACTGTGCTGACCAAACCCAGCACAAGGAGAATAGGTATTGACACTACTCCTGATGAAAATTTCCAAATTAAATCTATCATTAAAATGAAAATATGTGCTGTACTAGTGACAGATGCAGCCCACTCTCATTAAGTGGCTCACCTACACTCAATGCTCTGTGTTTACACAGCCACACAAAGAGCTATTAGCAGAACACCATGCAGCTTTCATGATGTGGTAGTGCCTTGAACAAATGCACTAGCTGAGAGCCCTGCCCCATTCAGTGTATATGAGCATGTTTCCATAGAGGCTGCTTGCTTTTGGCTTTTCCTCTAAAAGGCAGTTGGAAAAATTTGTGGGGATAAAGAGGGTTTGAGTGAGAAAAAGTCCATAGCACTGCTGGAAAAGTATCCTCTTATTTGGGCATACAGTGGAATTTGTATGAATGCAAGGAATCTGTCCCAGGGACCTAAGAGCTTATAGCAGCACAGATAAAAACTTGCATTTAAAACATAATATCCACGACTCAATGAGTATATAAGGAGCAATGCAATGCAGAATAGGCATTAAGAATTCATGTGACTACTGTGAAATGTAGAAAAATGTGATTACATGGTAACAAATGAAAGAGAAAAATATGTAGCAAAGTATTTCAATTAAAAAAAACCCCAGTATTTCAATTCAAAAAAAAAACAGTATTTCAATTCAAAACTTTATCTTAAGGACCATCAGCAAGTGGACAACATATTAGGAAATAAATCTTACCTAGATTATAGGCTACTTCTCAAAGAAGGTCCCAAGTCTTCAGCATGAACACAGGCTCAGTGACAGAGGAACATTAGTTTTTTGTCACTAACATGATGCTGTTTTTATAAAGGATACCTAGATGTTAATACTAAATTGTTATAATCTATTTGAGAGAATACATCTCTTTCTAATACAAAATTATTGTCTTGTTCTGTAGAGGATAAATTAATGTGAGAGGATAAACCCCTACTGGGTTTGCTGCTATCAAGCTGTGCACTATGAGCTTTTCCCAGATAATTTCTTCTTGTCCTTCCCTCAAGCATTTCATCAGTAGCTATTGCCTTTGAAAGGACTAAAGCACACTGTACATGTGATGTTTCTATTTTCTAAGTGTTAGACCATGACAACACCACAAAGACGTGCACCTTACATTATGTCAAACTTTTCCTTCTGCTGTTCAAAATGTAAAACCCCAGTAAAAGGATTACGGGATAGTCTAGTCTGAAATACCACAGAAGATATCAGGTTTGAGCACGAAGAATGATTGCCTAGCTTTGTTGTAATCTTTGGGAAGGTTTCAGTAGGAGTTCTATATTTAGGACTCACCTTAACCCTTATACCAGACCTCCTGTAACAATGCCTGGTTTTGAACATATTCATTAGTAACTGGCCAAAACAAATTTCCTACTTGCCACATCAGTCCCAAAAGAGCAACGGGAATTGATGGATTTGTGATGCATCAAATAATGAAGAGAAAGCCACCAGAAGAAAATCTTGGCCTTCCTAACCTCCCTGCATGCTGGGCAGACTCCAGGGAAGAGAAAAATGCAGCAAACGGAACAGGACTGAAGGGCACTGGCCTCCCAGACTCTTTCCTTCTCCAAGTGACTCAGATGTTTTAGATATGTGAAAAGTGTCTTGGCTGCAAAGTGCAAGTGTTTCAGAGCCCCTCTGTGTCCCCACTAACAACAGTTGCTGAGATCAGTTTCTTCCTCCTAATTTTTGCTGCAACCTCCTGCCTCCCCTCATCTTAAACTCAGACCCTGCCTCTGCTCTCAAAGTAGTCAAGTGTCCATCCTGAATTAGGTTTGTTGTAAACAATGAAGCAGTGGGAGGATTTTCCTTAATTGTCCTTGTTAAAATTCATATGGTACTTAATTAAAGTATGATACTTAATTAAGTATGATACTTAATTAAAAGCTTGCCTATCTGAAACCATTGAGGAAACAAGACAAAAACAATCCTTCCAGAAATATGTCCAGATGCAAAGCAAGGAGAGGACTACACAGGGATCTGGTTTTTGCCTGACCTCTGCCACTGATTCACTTCAATAATTTCTGCAAGTCATTTACTGTGCATCAATGTGCTTATTGATGGAGGAAAAACAATGTTTATTTCCTTTCACAGAGTTGTCCTGAGTCTGACTAACCACCCTTTGTGCAAATCTTTGGATGAAAGAAATCATTGGAGTTCTAAGCTCTTAATATATGTTACTTAGTGTACTTTAAAACCGTCATCACACTAGGTAGGAATTAACATTCCAAAGCCCATAGGGTGGATACCTTTTCCTATATATATATAAAAGTCATCAAGGGACCTGCCTCAAAGGAAGGACAACTGAATACAGGTGAGTCTGAATTCACTTACAGAATATTTATTTAGAACCAGACACCTTGATTTATTTTGATTTAGCATTTTGCCAATATTGTGATTGCTATGGTGTTTCTACATGAGGCCTATGAGATTTTTGTGATGGGAGTGGAGTGAAAAAATTCCTGCAGGTGAAAAGAGCTACACCTGTAGCTTTCAATAGGGACACAAATGGATTTGCCATTGAATTCATAGGTGTTGGGTCAAGCTGTATTGATCTGGGCTTGTGAATACTTAGCCTTAGTGTTAGAGCTCAAACTGAGTTACTGGGTGCACCCTGATCTGTCCATGGGCATTGCTGGCCTGAAAAACCTCAGTCAGGACAAGAGAATCTTTCCAATGATTCTGGTGGATTATTTGTGGATTTGCATCCATATAATCTGGTTTGCAGTAGAAATGCAGTCTAGAGAAATGGTCACATGCTATTAAAACTGATAATGTTTTAATGTTTGTAACTGTGTATGTAACAGTAACAATGTAACTGATAATCCTAAACAGGATTAGTGTTAATTGCCTACAAGATTTGTGGTGTATTTTGTGTTTGCAATCTTCCAGGGGAAGAAAACCCAAGCATTTGTAAACCACAAATCTACTCAGTTTAAATGTGTTCATCAGCAAGGCAAATACAGTCAATTGTTTTGCATTTGATAGTTATCATCTGATGATATTTTGCAATTTTACTAATAGGCACAACACACACATTTATTAGTAAAGTGGCTATCTGCCAGTATCACACAGAGAAGTATCATTTCACCAGATAAACGTTGGAGTTGCCTTGCATGCTCTCAGCAGAGTATTAAGGGTCACAGTCCTTGATTTTTGATAACAAGTTTTTCCAAGAGCCAAGGAAAAATCCTTTTTGAACAGGGAGGCAGGGGTTGTGTGCACTTTATAGCACATTAGACCTCAAACACCTATAAAATTAAAGCAAAGTTAGTGGATGTGCTCATCATAAAGACGCACCATGGGCTTTCAGGAGGGGCCATGTGAGCAAGCAATGACAACTGTCAGGGGCTAAAAAAGGCCCTGCTAGTCCAGGCTACCTCCCTGGTCCCAACTTCCCTAAGGGGAGAAAGGTCCTCTGCTTCCCAACCCCTCTTCAGCTAAGGCCATCTCTGTCTGGTGCCTCAGGGTAGAAGCTTTTAGCATGCCAACTTTGTTAGAGTGCTGCTGAAAATCTGCAGTAATTTCTTCATGTTTTGCAACCCACTGTGTTTCCAGGTCACCTGGGACAGCTGAGGAGAGCCATCACCATGATCCCTGCACTGCTGTTGCTGGGTCTTTCAGCCCTTGTTGGTAAGACAGGTTTGGGTTGCTGTCAAAAGCAGACTGGGAATTGTTTGCAGAAGGACCTTGGAGAGGAAGTGCGCAGTAGGCCTGGGGCCCCCTTCCTGCATGGCTCTGTAAGATCTGGTGTGGCTGAAGGTGCTCAGCTGCTGTATGAGGCTGGTTGCTGCCCACATGTGCCTTTTAAATCAGCTCATCTGGAGGATGAGACTGAAACCAAGGGAATCACAGCCATGTCTCCTCTTGGTTTTCCCAGTTAACCTTATCCAATCTCTCTGCCTTCTTAGAAATGGTCTCACAAAAGTGATCTGTTTGATAGAGGCTATTTGTTCCTCAGTTACTAGGGAAATAGGGTAATTTTCCCAGACTGAGGCAAGCATTCTCCTGAATTAATTCCTCACCAAGTTATCGAGGGACGCAGCAGACAATCCCAGCCAGGGTGCTCAGTGACCACCAGCCATCATATGAGTGGTTCCAAACACTGAGGGGCATTGAACCCATTTTCAGAGGGCATGGGAACTGCCCTCTGAAATAAATGCAGAGATGTTGGTTCTCCTCTCCCACACCACCCTTTAGACCTAACAGGGCAGGTGCATATTCATCTAAACAGTCGTTAGATCCATTTGCTTCAATATTCAATTAGAAAAGAACCAATTTCTGTTCTCTACCTTTCTTTGATAACATTACTGATGGAGACCAGTAGCAACCACAGAAGCGGGGCCAACACAAGGGGATGTGGATTGCAGGTCTGGACGCTCTCATGCTTGACTTGAACAATACTGCTCTGAGATTTTATGTGTTCAAACACTTCTGTTTTCATATTTCATATTTCAGCTCCATCCCTGAGTTACAGTTGCTATGGCGATATAAGTGCTCTTCAAGCCCCTACGATCTCCTGTACACCTGTAAGAGCCTCTGACTGTGGTATGTATCATTCACTGCTTGATTTGTCAGCTTGTTTGTACCTGACAGAGAGATGCCTTACCTCCTGCCATTGCCAAATTAAATGTGGTGCAACTATTCAAACAGCAAAAAGAGAGAAAGCAACACTTCCTCTCCCAAAAGAGCAGGTGAAGCCTCCAGACCTGATGGGAAGTGGAAGGACAAACTTCATGTCCCATAGTCAGGATCTTTGGCCTTAAAGCAAAAGGAAATAGTACCACCTCTTTTCAGTTAAAACAGCGTCTTCATCAGCCAGGACTTTAGCATCAGCCTCCTCACTAAGCCCCAGGGCTTGTCTGCTCCCAGGGTAGGATACACAGAGCCAGGTCCTGAGTGCCAGCACATTGGCTGAGCTGGCCAGTGCTTCACATTTCTCTCTTTCTTGCCTGGTGTTACTGCCTGGTGTGAGCACACAGCTGACTGTGTCACATTCCTACTGCTGATATCTCCATGTTCCTTGGATGTAGGTTTTTCCAGGGCAGACACCTGACTGCAGGCGTTCAAGCATAGATCTGAACCTGCTTGCTTGTTTCCAAACTGTTCCAAATTTGCTTTAAAAAAGCCCCCACTCTCTAGAAATAGAACATAGCTATTACTGCAGTGTGGACAATCTGTAGTAACATACCCCTCAATTTTTTCAAATCCATTTTGAAACTTCACTTCTCTGACTCCAGAGGTACTGGAATGATACCAATATAGCCGGACGGAATGTGCCTGGGCTTGTCTGGCCCTTGCTGCTTGACCAAAAGGCAGCAGCTGTGATGATTTCACCTCAGAGACACCTTTGGCTAGCTGGATGCTGCAGCTGGGCGCTTAGAGACAAGTCCAGGCTTGCAGGAGCTCAGGTTTACCTTGGCAGAGAAGCTTTAAGGCAAGGATGAAGGAAAGGAGTTAGTTCTGATGGATGGTTTCTATCCAGAGCTTTATTCAGGCCTCTGAATGCAATAACAGCTCCAACAGGACTCTGAACTGTGTGGCTGCTGTTCCTTTTAACCCTGGGGAGAGGGGGAGGGAAGGGGCATGAGGGACCACCAACCAGGTAGGGGGGGAAGTCTCAGGAGACAAATGACACCTGGATGGCCCAATGTCTCTCCAGGGCTGAAAGGCATCTTTTGAACTCTGCCAATCATTCGACGCCCTTCTGGAATGCCAGGACTGACAGACAGCGCTCAGCAGGGGTCAGGGTGTGGAAAGGAGGGATGATTGACACACCTGGTAGGGAATTATCAGGGAGGAACCTGGGGTATCTGAGGCAAACCATGACATCACACTGCAACACAGAGGTGCAGCAGAAGAAGAGGACCATGCATTCCATCTCCTAAGAAGCCTCCCTGTTCTCCTGGTCATCCTTGGGTAGTGGAACAGCAGCTCCCTGGCCATGGTCAGAGCCAATAGAGCTGTGCTTGTTCCTCAAATCCTACTGCCCAACTTGATGTAGATGCGATTTCTTAAACACTTGAGTACTCCTTTGACACACCTGCTCAAGGGGAAGCGAGGGGTTTGGACAGGGGTGTGTGTAACTCTGCCTTTTCCTACGCAGCAGGATATGCCATGATACGGAGGACGGCTGAGGCAGACCTGCCACGCCTGAGGAGATACGAGATCCCAATTAAGAGAGTAGCCAGCAACCTCTGCTTGGACCCAGCGCTCATCGGTGCCATCATGTCCCAGGAGAGCCGTGTGGGCCTGCTCCTGGACAACGGCTGGGACCGGGCACGGCAGAAGTACGGCCTGATGCAGGTACTCCAGGGTGACAAGCGTGAGCAATAGCAATGTAGTGCACACCCCAGGGCTTTATCTTAGCAAATCACTGTTCTGTGTTTGAAAGAGCACTTTATTGCAACCCCTCTGTATCCAAGGCTTTCCTGAATAAGGTCACTTCAATGAGGCAAAGCCTGGGAGTGCAACGAAGAGGGGGAGGCATTCAGAGCGAAACTGATTTTCTTGTTTGTCTTTCCTAGATCAGCAGGCAGCAAGTGCAACCTTCTGTGACGTGGGATAGTGAAGAACACATAAATCAGTGCTCAAATATCCTGGTTCTTTCCATTAATGAAGTACGGGCAAGACATCCTACCTGGTCCTGGGACCGACAGCTGAGAGGTACGGAATGAGCTTTGTACTAGGGAGGAACAGACTGACTGATGGGAGTGCTGTGTGCTTTTTGGTGTCACTTTTAAGGGAAAAAGAGCATCAATCTGGCAGATTTTACAGGATCTCTTACCAAAAAAAAAAAAAACCAAACCAAACCAAACCAAAAAAACCCCAAAAAAACCCCCAAAAAAAACCCCACAAAAAACCCCAAACAAACAAAAGAAACCCCCAAAGCCCCAAAATAACAACCAGAACCAGCGTTTTCTAGTTTAACAGTAGCAGTACCAGACCAGCAGACTGGCAATGAGAAATGGCTGTTAGATGGATAAATAAGATAGAAAGCAACTAAAAAAAAGTGACTGGAGAATGCAGAAACTGAGGCATCACAACACAACAGAATTATTGTAGCAACCTGTTGTGTCCAGGAAGATTGCATTCAGGTTTCCTTGTAGTCTGTGCTGAGTGCTGGTTTGTTCACCCTATGCTATTTCTTTCTCTCCCTTCCTTGCTCTGCTACTGCCCTTCCTTTGCTCTGATTACACCCTTTTCTGGTAACTGTTCCATTTCCATCTGCATTTGGAGAGAGTCATGGGCTCCTTCACTATAGCAAGAAAGATTTTACAAAATCAGTCACTTTTCAAAAATAATGCACATTTGGCACTTTGCCAAGCAGTTCCTGTTTGGTGAGATGCATGGTGTTTTTTGCTACAAATTTTTGCTCTTTAATCTCTATCTCTTACTTAAAGGCCCATAACAACTTCTTAACTCTTTCCAGGGGGAATCTGCACCTACCATGCAAAAATGGGCAACGTCCAGGTCTACGAGGCAGACCCATGCAGCAATGACTACAACTACGTCAACAGCGTGATTAGGAGAGCCCAGTACTTTAAGAGAAATGGGTTCTAGGTCTTAAACCCACCCCACCACGGAGCCTCCCCTCTGCAGACTGACCCAGCAGTGATGTAGTAACCCACTACAGCCCAGTGCTGTAGTACCCAGAGCAGTTCCTCAGGTCTCCTGGCAGGACCGATGCTGGTGGCATTGCCAATGCCACCTTGCTCACTCCAGCAAATCCCAGCCCCCTGCTCACTGATGGGCAAGCTCAGCACTGACTTCCAGGAGATCCCCAGGGATGAGATCCCACAAGCTCAGGGCCTTTGAAAGACAGATGGGGACACACCAGCAATGTTTAAATTTTGAGTGAGGAAGGTGACTCTTCCTGTTCAAAGTTGCACCCCAGGGCTGTTTGTGCATCTCCCAGACATGGACACAAACAGCTCTCCCTGGGCATCAGCTGTGCTCTTCCCATTTGCATCCACCCTCTTTCCTCTCCATGGCCAATGCAGGGCATGAATACCCTGTGTTCCTTGCCTTGGTGCTGCTGGCTAAGGAGCAATGAAGAGACTTAGTGGTCTCTGCAGTAGCTGAGTGTTGCTGTAGCCAGCCTTCAGGGGAACAATACTAAATATGCTTTGCTTGGTCTCCTAAGTCCATGGCCATGGTGCAGCTGGGGACCTCATCAGGGCATCTGTATGGAAAATACCACAAATGGCAGAGCAGGCAAAATGCCTTTCCATCAGTGAGCAGCCCTTGGAGCAGGAGTCAGCCCCATACGTACCCACGCTGGGAGCCGTATCACAGCAATAGTTTTGGTAAAAAAACCCACAACCTTTCCTGTTTTAACTTTGGCACATATATGCTGAGTTTCCTCCAAATTTAAAAACATTTCAGCATCTGTCCCTGTGCTAGAAATCCCAGTTTCTAATAGAAGTGAATGAGCTCTGGTCTGTTTGAAAGTGGATGGGTCTCTTGGTGCCAATTTATTAATTAGATAACAATAATGAGAATAAGATAGAAATAAAGATAAATGTTAAATCCCAATGTTTATTTTTTTCAGTTTCATGGGACTCAGTGGGTAGCTGTAAAGCTATTTACTCAAGCTGGGTAAAGCTTGAGTAAATAACCCCATTCAATACTCTTGGAAGGGTCTAAAACTCAGTTTGAGAACAGAGAGAGGATAATGCTGCTGCAGACTGGATAGGTCAGAAGAGCTGGGCCTGAGTCTGGCTCCTGACCCAAACTTGTGGGCCTGGTAATAGGAATGTTCACATTTAGCCTTTCAAATAACCATTTTGGAGGTGTCAGAGTACTTTTCTTCCAGCTGCCACCATTGCTGATGCAGAAGTGATGTTCCTGGCAGTCCTTGCCTGGCAGCAAGGGGCAGTGCTGTCCCTGTGCCTGGGCTGCCAGGCAGGGTCAACACAGGCAGCACGAGAGCTGGATTGGAGACAGCTTTTGCCAGCAGAGCACTTTTAACACTTTGCCCCTTGTCTTGCCAGTCCCTCATCTGCTTACCATCATGGCAAGGGCTCTGCATGATTAACATACATTACAAGCAAACTAGTTTAATCACCTCTGGAGACCAGAGGGAATCCTATGTTGTCTCAAATGTCACTGATTTCTTTTTTAAGACTACCATAAACAGTTCAGTGTTGAGCAACACAGATATTGAAATTAGTCTTTAATGAATTCTGCACTATATTAATATAATTTTACTAAAATAATTACTTTGTAATACAAACTTATGAAATATATCACATGGTTGTCTACTTAACATTACTTATGTAAAATTCATAGGATGAAGCCTTTGGTGCATTATGTTATGTAAACCTATGTTACATAAACCTCTTATGTAAAGCCTATGAATGAATTTTCGGTAGATCAGTATAAATTTCACATGAGGCAGGGAATCTCATTGCTGCCTATGTGTACAAAGCTAGGGCTTGAGTTCCAAGGGTGAACAAGAGTGGAGCTTTCTTTGGTTGCCTTCATGTCATCCTCAATTGCTGCCAGCAAGCTCCTTGTCACCACTATTGGTGCTGCCAACCCTGCAGATCTCTGAGCTCCTGAGGAGTCCAATTTGAAGCTATGAAGCTGCTGCTTCATGTTGTGGTAGCAACACCCAAGGGCCTGCAGACCTGCCTGCTGAGTTGTGCAGCATCACCACAAAGGATTATTTATATTTTAAAGTCTATTTAAAATTCCAAGTTATGGAAACTCCATATTTTGTTCCAAATTTTGTTTTAGGGTATCAGCACTTTTCAGCAAATACAGAAAATCGCTGCAGCTGTTAGGTGAAACTTGATGAAATGGTAGGAAGGAGCAAATAAACAAGGAAAGTTTAACAGCAAGATTTGAGCAAAAGGTTTCCTGACAAATAATGAGTTCAGATTGTTGTTCCTCTCTGATCTTTTTCTGGTCACCTCTGTCCATGTTGCTGGAAGCTCCTTCTCTGCCTGATGTAGACAGAGCAGCCGCAGTCGCACTCTTGGTCACCCTTTTGACCCATGGCCTATTGAAAAAAACCCAAAACAACAGACACCTTGCAAAGCAAATTATCTAGTACCAAGTAACATATCAGAAAAAGCAGAAGCACAGGCAAGGAAAGAGAAAAGCCACATCAAAGGGGAAAGAAGGTTCCAGGGAATCAAAGACCAAGACACCTGCCTGAAACATTGAGGAAGGTGCTAGAATAAAGGATTGAATGGTTCCTTCAAGAGATCCTGTGGGACAACAAAGCAGCAAGAAACTGTCAGGAGGGTGCTAGCAGCCTGGCTTGGCAGGGAAAAACCATCTCAGATCAATTAAAATCTTTATCTAACTGGGTAAGTGGCCAAGAGAGAAGCCATGGTTGTGCCATACCATGAGGGTGATAATGCTTTCAGCAGAAATATGAAGTACCCTCATATGTGAAGGGCTTTAAAATAAGTGGAAAAAGCACTAGTTAGCAGCAGCCTCTGGCCAAACTCATGAGATTTTGAAGTGGAGATACATGAGTCTGTCCTACAGCAGTTTCTCTGAAATTTGCAGTCAGAAAATGAATGGAGGATGTGAGCTATCTAACCATGGGCTACATGGAAAGGGAACATGAACACTTCCATTGTGGTTAGAAACTGTGAAAGCCTGTTAGGAACAAAACACAGGAATCAATTAAACACAGGTGCAAAACACTCAACAAGGTCAAGCAGCAGTGTACCAGGTGGGCAACCATTCCACAGAAAGGGCTGGGGATCCTGGTGGGAAGCAAAGTTGATGCCAAAGACAGAAGAAATCAAAAAGAAGGAATATCTCATTTGTGAGGTTATCTTTGTTACAGCACTGTGTGTGAAGAACCTGAGGTAACTCTTCTCTCAGCTATTCAGCTGTCAGTCAGTGAGGCTTGGCAACAGTGCTTGAGACTGTTGCACCAACAAAAATATGCGCAGGACAATCACAACCCTGATGGAAAGTACAGCCTGTGGAAATAAGGAATTAGATCTTCCCCTCGACCCAAAAAAAAAAAAAAAGAGAGAGAGAGAGAGAAAGCACATAGTTATGATTTTCTAATATACAAAAGAAACTAAGGGCAAGGACCTACTAGCTTCCATTCCCCTTGAGGGTAAGACAAATAGCAGTGAGTTTAGCAGCAGATTTGTTGGATACTTCAAAAAAACCTTTCAGGATAGTGAAGCAATGCAGCATTTCGTAGGTGTTTTAAACAACATTCAAGATCAACACGTAAAAGTTGCCGTACATCATATATAATCACAAAATGGTTTGAGTTTGAAAGGACCTTAAAGGTCACCAAGTTCCAACTCCCCTTCCATAGGTAGGAACACTTCCCATTAGATCAGATTGCTCAGGGCTCCATCCAACCTGGGCTTGAACACTTCCAAAGATGGGGCATCCACAGCTTCTCTGGACAACTTATTCCAGGGCCTCACCACACTCACAGTAAAGAATTTCTTCCTAATATCTAATCTAAACCTGCTCTCTTTGCAGTCACATTTTGCAGAGAGGGGAATGCAATAGTTGTTGTTTAAGGACCTTTCCAAGTTAACACTGCTGAATCAGAATCAGCAGTCAGCAAATGGAAAACAAATTGTAGACAGGGAAGAAAAACCTTCTTTGTTGGGGTCCTGTGATTTGGTTTTACAACTGATGTTACTACTGGGAAATTTATTTAAATGTGCTTCCTACAGTAAAGAGCAAGTGTGAGGTGGAGTCTTTCTCTCTCATCAACTTGTTAAGCTGCAGGTGGCATGGGCTGATCCCTCCGTGGCTCAGGCAGGGATCTGCCTGGAGACTGGAGCTGCAGTGACTGGTTTTCATAGAAACCAGGCAGAGGGACCAATTAAACCACCTCTTTCAGCAGTAACTGAAGCAGCAGGAAAACATTGTCAAAACCAAGTCCCTGTTGGGTCAGAGCCCTGAGCTACGTGGGAGAGCAGATTGTTCTGATGGCTGATTCCAAATGCTGCAGCTGGATCTGTTTGAGCCACGTGTCCATGTCTATCTCCCTGAGATATGCAGAAAACAAAGGGAAACACCAGCACATGAAGGCAGTGCTGAACAACTGTGTTTGTTCTGCTTTGTTACTCATTGCAAAACCGGGCTGGGATTTTCTAGCCAGGACAGACACCAGCTCTTACACTGCCCAGGACTGGCACCAGCCTGCGGTCCCAGGGACTCCTGTGGAGCTGGTGCTGCAGCTGGGGGTAACTGTTTCTAATGCTGGCCTCAGGTTATCTAATTGCCTTCCTGGAAACTGAATACTCCCATATTGCATGCACATGGCCTGCTTTTTCCCATTTCAGTGTTAAAAGAGATCACATTGTAGGATTGCAACCTCGGAGTAGTTTCCCACCAACATCCCTCAAACAAAATCCTGTTGTCATCTTGTTGTGAAGCTCCCATACCTTCTTGGTGATTTCTCATGGGCATCTCCTTGCAGCCCTGACTCCTTCTTCTTCACAGCACAACCAACAAAACCCCAGCCCTCTCCTCACCTAGCTAGCCCAGTCTTTTGTAGCACTCATCTTATTGGACACAGCTGTGGCCTATTAGGGGCAGGCCTGTTCCTAATCTTTGGTGATTAGTACAGCTGCAACTCCTCAGGGGTGAGACTACCTTCTGCACTATCTTTATTTTCTTACATTCTCTCCCTCCACAAAATCCTTGTGCCTCTCTCTAGCATTTGTTTCTGTGGGTTCCTCAACCAGCTCATCCTAGAAGCCAGGATTTATTGCAACCAAAAATTCTGCTTCTGCACCTCATCCTGATGAGGCACTGATCCAGCCAGGGTGCAGGCTCCCACTCATGCCACCGTCCCACATTTACTGCTCCTCTGGCCTCACTGACCACTCTCACAGAACTCAAAAAGGATAGTACAGTCCTACTACAGCATTTTTATCAGTAGATACTGGGATTTCCACCCACAGGTTTTTAGGGTACTTCTCTTTTCCTGTAATATTTTTATGCTATAACATTTTTATCCTTCACACAGAGCACCACTCTATATACAGCATCACACTTCCACATCCTACTCAGTGGTTCCTGTGAGGCTGGCAGTGCTGTATCTCATTGGTTTTTTAGCCTCCACCAAGACTCTAAGACACCTTCTATATCAGGGTTGTAATTTGGTCCAGGCATTTGGGTTCTGGCTTGATTTTGAAGTCTCTAGCAACTGTACAAAAACACCTGCAAGTTTGTCTTTGCTTTGTTGCTTAATATTGCACGTGCCAAATCCTTGCCATTGTATTCTATTTTGTCTTTCTCACCTATTGTGATTGTGCTGTTTATTTCCCTCATGTTTTTTTCAGAGGCAAACTGAACATCAGCCTTGTTCACCTTGCAGATCACATGAGTTCAAACTGGATACTCCTCTGTATTGGTCAGCTTTCCCCTGCTTCTAGTGGAAATGTTGCTCTAAAAGCAATTTCCAGCGACACTGGTTGTCTATGCTACAGCTCAGCATAGATATCCATGTTTTGCCAGTTCCTCACATGTCTCACCCATCTACAAATCCCTGCATTTCCCTATGAGGCCATCTTGCAGCCTCAGGACACAGACCTTCTCCCAGCATCCAGAGCACTGTGCCTTCCTAACACAGGCTGGGTAACCTCCCACAGCTCAAATGGGCTTGATTGCCTTGGGAAGCTTGTGTCAGCCTAGTTTCTCCCCTGAAAGCATAACTAGGATCACTCATTTCTTACCCACCTCTTATTAAGCTAATTAGCAATTAGAAGAAATGTTCAAGAACACGAAAAAACCCACTCAGGGAGGATATGGCTGACCTGAGACTCTACTGCTGCAGCCCTCAGTCTTCCACAAGCACTCAATTTCCAAGAACTGGAAAGGTTTCTTGTTCCAAAGCAGGCAAGGAGAAATTTGACTCATTTTTGTCCTTTAAATCACGTTTTATTTTATTAATTTCCTGCTTATTCAGCCACCCCTTAGCTGATTCAGATCAAGAAACTAACAAAGTTTTTAAAGAGTTTGGGTGTGTGCATAGTTACAGAAACCAGGTTTATAGATTCCTGCCATAATAATAAAAATCCTGGCAGCAAATTTTTGTATCATTCCTCTAGAAATTAAGACAAACTCTAAAAAGGCACAGCTGCATGCCTGATGCCATAAATGCCATAATACAGGACCAGATTATCCCACAGATGTTTGCCCTGAACCACTTAATTGCCAGAGGCAATTTTTCCTTCCTGCCAGACACATGAGAGAAGAGTGAAGAGTAGTTGATACTAGATCTGGTCCAGTGCCCTGCAGCCTGGCTTCTGGGTAAACAAAATTGTCCCTGCCCTGAGACTCTTGTGATCAATAAAGAGCTGCTTGCTAATGGATCATGGATACTGATATTGAATGGATCACTGTGGCCCTTGTTATATGTACTACAGGTGGATGTCCTACACTTACCACATGCACAACATATTTCAGTAGTAGAGCTGTCAGGTTGCTCTAGATGGAGGCTGAAGAGCTGAGTATAAATAAAGACCCAGGGAATTCAGGTGAAACTGTCCAGGTGTGGCAAAGGAGGTTTGTATAGAGAATATGGGCAGGGAATAAAGTTGTTCATCAATTACTGTGATGCAGAGAGAGCAAACTAGTACATCCTTTATGTTTCTGCCCCAGAAATAAGGGAATAGTAGCACAGGCCATTTGGAGATTACTGGTTTGTGAATCACCTTTAGTGCTTTTTGAATTTTTTTAAATGTCACTTGTTTTGAGCCACATCTGTTCTATTCTCCTTCCTGTCAGATGCATTCCTCTTTCAACCTTCTTTACACTCAGTCATAATTGTGAACTTGAAGAGCCCCATGCATGAGCTGCTGTGACTGTGCAGCTGATTCTCTATGGGAAGTATCAACAGCACAGCAAAAACTTACAGAATCTCTCAGTGCAATGACACGGGACAAATTCCCCGGATAAAAATGTAAAAGAGCTGCTGAAAGAGCAAAACGGCATTTCACACCCTCAAAATCTGCCGTGGGGGAGAAGCGGGTCGGGATGGATTGTGCCGCGGGAGTTCTGCCATCCAGCGGCTGTTTTCCTTACTGCGGCACAGCTACAGTAGCTTGGAAACCCACACCGCCTGCTAATTTGGAGCTGTTGACCTTTGTTGTTCCTGTGCAAGAGGGGATAACAACAGGGGCCTGGCGTAGTCTCTGCATATCTGAATGCTGAGCAGTTGCAGCTCTGGTCATGTTATTGTTCCTGGATCTTTGCCTGCAAAAATGTCATTAAATCCAGAAGCCCATTTTCCCATTGTCAGCATGTTACTTCTTCCAAGAACTCAACTGGAGCAGCAGTTTTTAGACAAGGCTCCTCCTAGTTCCTCCACGGTTCCTAGTAATGGGACTTAAAATTAAATTAAAAGCTATTTCATTTTTAAAATTCTAATTGTGTTTTTGCTGTAGAACAGAACCCCTGTTGTGTTTGGGAGGATGCACAAGTTGTTAGGTGTTTCTGTTTCTTGTAAGACCAGTGGGGGTGGGAAGTGCTCTGAGCCAGCTGTTCCAGAACACTGCCAGCAGATACAAAGCCCATTTGTCTCCAGGAAGTGGATTGAGAATGTGGGGAGACATCCTACAGCAAACATGTCAGGTCTGTGATCTTTGTCTAATATTCTTGTAAATGATTCACTGTACCAAAGTCTGTATTCCATTAGATGAATTGTTCCTCTCAGTTGATGTTTGTGTGTTTTCTCTCCTGCAATGGTGTGTTAAGACAACAGATAAATGCTGATAAATTGCAAGTCAAACAATCTGCAAGTCAGATAAATTGTAATGGGTGTAATTGAAGGATGTTTCTGTTTGATTTTCTTGTAGCTATGGAAAAGCAAGCTGGAGCCAATAAATAGTGTAGGATTTCAATAGACTCTCATATTTTTTTCTTCACTTTAAAAAAAATTTGGAATAGAAAACCTGCCTTTTTGAGATGCCTTCCTCCACTGGCCATGCAGGCAGCCCAAGTCACAAGCTTAGACTAAGACAGTTAAGTTTTAGGTAATTAGGGGAGATGAATTGGGCACAAAGCACCAGTTCACAAGGTACATGAGCTAGCATGACTAAGAGGAAATCCCCTCCAGAGCAGGCCATACATACCATGACTGCATCTGCTAGCACAAACACCTGCACTAGCATCAAAAGGATGCCATGGGCTTCAGTCAGGGATCTGAAAGCATTTTAACAGCATGAGTCACACATTGCATTGGCCTGACATCTGCTTGTAAAGACTGCTCTGTGCTGGTTTCAGCTGAAACCAGCACGTGTTCTTAGGCTGTTCAGAGTGTTATGGGAACATATTGAATGTTGACACAACTGGAGCTCTGGGGACAACTGTGAAAGCAGATGGTGTGAGCTGTGTAGGTAGGCACTAATTCAGTTGTTCATTCCCCCCTTACACCCGTGCACAAGCTCATGCCTATTATGGATCCTGGTCTCTGACTGTCAGTCATTGCCAAGCGAGCAGATACTTTCACAGTCAATCAACAAAGACCCTACTTGGGCACATAAGTTTATGTTGGGAATAGGGTTGCCTTTGAGATGACATTTAAGACCATCACAGAAAAAACAAAAGTCTGCTGGGTGCATCCAACCTCTGAACCTACTTTTCTCTCTCCACTGAGAGTTTCCCTGAAAACCTGAACTTCTGAACATTTCTCCATTATAGTCCTAAATTCAAAGGGACTAAATCTGGGACTAATACACAGAAAGGCTTAGATTTAAAACAAGACTCACGTTACTTTCAATCTGCATGCTAGAGAAATGCCCTCTAAATCTGAAGAAAAAAGTCTTTTATATCATCTGTGTATTGATTTCTAAGGTACCCTTCAGTAAAATTAGTCAATTCTTTGTTTCGCTCTAAAGAGATTCAGAAGGATTCAAAATGTCAGCTCAGCCATAATGACCTTTAGAAAATCTGGGTTTGGTTTCTAAAATGAAAGGCAAAGTCATGCATGTCATGTTGTAGAAGTTCCTGCCTCAGAGAAGACAGCAGAAGAACATGGAGAAATACCAGGCCAAGATGGCAAAAGCTGGCAATGGTGAGGGTCTTGCTCCAGCTTTGATTGATTGCTGGTGTTTTCTTTCAAGGGCTGGGACAGAACTGAAGGATGGCCTGGGTGACCATGGGAATGCATTTGGCTTAATACAGGTACTGTCAACCTTCTTAAAAACATAAATCTCATCCTTCCCTTGAAGCAGAGTCAGAAGAGTGGCAGGAACCCCGTTGAAAGGCAACCCCCTAAGCCTTTTAAACCAAGTCTTTGGCCAGGCTAAAGCCCATGCTAACCAGGCTGTCAGCTGCCAGCACCAGGGAAGGACTTGGGTGAGCATCAGTGCATGAGCAGACTGCTTTTACACTGTGAAACTGATGATTGCTTCCCAGCACTCCCGTGGGATTGAAGAGATTAATTGTTCTTCTTTCACATTTAGATAATAAGTCTTTTTTTCAAAAGGCACCTTTTTAAACTGAGCATGCTGTAGGCTGCAGTTACTACCATCAGGTTAATTATACTTTATGCACCACAGGGGCCTGGGTTGTGGGGGATCTTGCTTCATTATTCATGCTTACATTTGTGCCTAGCTTGTTTGCCAAGTTGTAGCCTTATCTGTAAAATCCCTGAACATTTGCTGCATGCATGGGATCTGTTTTTCTAACAGCTCCAGCCCCCTCAGACTTGTGCTTTACTACCTCATGGATTAAGGGGAGATCCCTATAGGAAATGGATTTTCCCACCCTTGATTCAGTTGGGGAGGAGAGGGGTAGTCACCTTTCACCTGGAAACACTGTGAAGCAGCAGTAATCCTGGTTTCTGCATACTGTCACCTTTACAACAGCAGCTGTGATGTTTTTTTAAGACTGACAGACAAGGAAGTAGGGCTGGCATTCCTCTTCTGTGTCCAAATGGACCTCAGACGTCTGCTGGCTTTGCCTGTGCCATGAGAAGTGCTTGTGTCCTCTCCGTAGAGTCACAAAAGAGGTAAATCCTGAGACTGAGGACTGTCGCAGACATCTTTTTGTGAAAATCTTTTCTTTCGGATTTTCCTGCTGAAGCTGAGAAGTTTCAGCAACAAGTGTAAACAATTATTATCTGCTGCTGTGGAATGCAACAGGTCCACCTGTGATTGGCCCCTCTTGGATGTTTATAATTAATGGCCAATTAAGACGGAGCTATCTTGGAGAGAGTCCAAGAGAGCTGCCTTTGTTATCATTCTTTTCTATTCTTAGCTTAGCAAGCTTCTGAGAAAACCTGTCCTTCTTTTTCTTTTTAGTATAGTTATAATGTAATATATACATATATATATCATAAAATAATAAATCGAGCCTTCTGAACATGGAGTCAACATTCTTGCCTCTTCCCTCATCCAAGAACCCCTGTGAACATGGTCACAGAGGACCAAAATGAACACCAGCAGCCTGTAAGCAACAAAGAGATCTGGATAAGTAGTGGGGTATCTGGTGTGGTGATGTTGCTGTCTCACTTTCAGGCTGGCAAACAGCACCATAAGATTGGCAAGCCATGGAACACTGAAGAGCACCTAGGACAAGACACAGAGATTTTATACAGGATGATAAATCCAGAAAAAAAATCTCTATCTTGGACAGAGGTACAGCACCTCAGAGGTTGAGTTTTGTCAGCTTTGAAACACTTCACATATATAAAGTCAAGCATGATAATACTGTAAGCACTGCAGAAAGCTAAACACATCCCAGTCCCTATGTTCATGTGGAATAATATTCCTTTGTATGCACTAAAAGGAATAGAATAAGATTAACCTTCTAGCAGTTTTTTTTGAAACCTGGTGAATACCATGACATTTTTCAGTTGCAAGGACTAAGGGTGGGTTCTCCCACTCCTCTCTCCATTCCATTTGTTTTGTGGTTCTATACCCACCTACAAAAAGTAACCTTTCCTGGTTGCCTCTCCTGGCAACTCTGAAGTACTATTTACTGATGAAATAGCACCTCTGTTTACATGTTTCTTTCGCCCTCTTTCCAGGTGGGATCTCAGCCTATAATGCAGGCGTTAACTCTGTCCAGACTTACGACAAAATGGGTATTGGTAAAATACACAACTATGCCAGTGATGGGGATGTGAGACCCAGGTTTTATAAGAAAAATGGAATTGAGATCTCTGAGTAATGATTAGATTTGAGGCTCTGATTTCATACTTTGCTTCTAATTGAAAACATTCTGTATTTCTCCTCCAGAAACAATAAGAATGGGGCAGGACAACAAAGCCAGGAACAAGAACAAACTTGCAATGGGGTTTTTTCCAGCTAAGGCGAAAAAAAACCTTAAAAGTTAACACAGCTAATAGTCCAAAATGTAACTTACCTTTTGCCTTTAATTTTTATTTTATATCATGAGAATATCCAGATTTTTCATCTGTGCCTGCAGTTTCTCAAGCAGCAGATTAATGCTGCAAGGAAGCTGTAACACTGCTTAACAAGACTTTACCCGTCTTATATTTTATCTGTAGATACACATGTCTAACAGCTGTACAAAACAGCCAGAGGCTGTCAGAGGCTTTCAACACCCACTGAGCAACCTCATCTGGCCTCAGTACTGGCCCTGTGTTGAGCAGGAGGTTGGACTAGAGACCAGAAAGACTTTCCAATCTGAATTTTGCAATCATTGTAAGTCAGTCTGTTTGTTCTCTACACAAAAAGGGAACAAATGTCTCTTACCTGTGCTTCACAAAGACCTACATGGAGCTTACAAAGTTCCATTACTGAAAGGGTGTGGACACACTGTTTGTGCACGCTGCTGGTTCAGGTTTTAGGGTTTGAGAGCAAATCTTGAGAGAATGTATGCTCAAACAGAGAAGGTTTGGGATAGCAGACTAACTGTGGGAGAGTGGAGGCCCTTGGAGGAAATACCATTTCAGAAACACCCAAACGTACACATATATTAAAAAGTTTTAAAAAACCAATTTTCTTTCTCATTGGAACTGTCAGCTTGTCAATTAAACATCTTTGTAAAATCTCTTGCAGCTGCATCATACTCAGAAACAACAGCTACTATGTAATTTGCCTTCTCTCCATGTGGGAGCCTGCAGTGTCCATAGTTTATCAGACACTTCTTTAGCTGTGAACGGTACCAAGCCTTTTCACTAACACAGGCCCTCCGGGATACCCGCAGCATTTTTACAGGCTGCAGCGCTAGAGATCCACACGCACACATCCATACACAGAGCGTGTGGTATGGAGCTGGCAGAGCCCTCTGCTGGAAGCTCCCCAGGCTGCAGCACCACCGACGTGAATCCCCAACGTGCCTGGCAAGGCTGAGCCAGCCTGGCCCTGGGACACCCATCCAGCCACAAGTCTTAGTATTTGCTATCCACCAGCAGCAAGATCCAGCAAGCCTAATTTTCTGTGTCCTAGTACTTGCACCATCTCTTTAAAGAATGCCCTGTGCCTTGAATGCACTACACATGTCCTTTAAAAGGGCTCAAATTCCAGCTTGTACCTTCCTGTGGGAATATGATCAACCCCTTGCAGAGACTGCAGTCATAACACACTGCAGCACAAGATGCTGTGCAGATGTTGGAAGAAAGGCAGGAGGTGAGAAAAGCAACATAAATTAATCATTTTTCAAATAAATTAATCTTAAAAGTGATTAATTTATCAGTTCTTCCATGCTATTTTATTTCAGCTCAAATTCTCATTTCTGGCTTCAGCCTGGCCATAGGGGCCATTACACTCCTCAGTGCCACTACCACAGCCTGTTACTAATGATATTTTATGAAAACCCTGTCACTAGGATTTTTCTCCTGAGAAGCTTCAGAAAAAATGTAAACAATAACAATCTGGTAGCTGTAGAATGTAGTCTAGAGATTATTTACCAACAGGTGCATCTTTGACTGGTCTTATGTAAATTGTTTCTACTTGATGACCAATTACAAGTCCAGCTGTGTCAAGACACTAGTCAGTCACAAGATTTTATTATTCATTCCTTTCTAACCTTCTGATGAAATCCTTTCTCTCTATTCTTTTAGTATAATTTTAGTATATAATTTTCTTTTAATATAATATATATCATAAAATAATAAATCAACCTTCTGAAACATAGAATCAAGATTCTCATCTCTTCCCTCATCCTAAAAACCCTCAAACACCACCACACCTATCCTTTTCCCTCTGCACAGTGCCTCCAGCTCTTACGTCCCTGTCCTGATATCTCTTCCTTTGAACTCCTACAGGTGTTTACTCTTCTCTGCAAGCAGGCAGAAAGGATAAACACTAATTCTCAGTGACTGCATCCCTCTAATGCTCTCACAACATGCAGTCATTAAGATTAACTCCTCTTCAATGTGTCTAATGTGGGAGCGGCTCACGGCATGTTAAATTACAGAATTTATCCTGACTGGAATGCAAACTACTTTATCATTTGATACAGCAGCAGCTTGCTAACTTTGGCCACAGTTCTTAAAACTGTAGTATTTTATAAGCTTGCAGCTCATAATTCTAGCTCACATCAGAGGTTTGCTTCAGGGTCTCCACATTTCTAACATCTGCCATTCTAGAAAAGGAAAAGCATTAACTTTCACATGGACTGCAGTTCTTAGGCTATTCTTACTGAACACTTAGGATCAGGGGATACATATGAACACAGCAGGTTACCTGAAAGACAAATCAGACAACCAATCAAGAGGTGAATAACTCCTGTTACTCCCAAATGGAGAGTTCACATGCTTTGTAAGCTACAGAAGCAGCCAGAGGACTGACTGCTAGGGAACAAGCAAAGTGAGATCTGGATAACCATGGTAAGTCACTCTCCATGGACAGCCAGTCAATTCTCATGTGACAACTAAACAGAGGGCATTCCAATTCCAATTTCAATTCCCTCCTCTGTGCAGTGAAAGTCCTGCAGTATTGCTGTAAGTCTTTACTGCTAGCTGTGAAATGTCCTCACCATCATTAGCTAGAACTATTCCACTCACTTCTCTGCTTATTTGACTTTACCAACAAAGTCAAACTGTAAGAGAACTTAGTTAGCCAAAAACTGCAGCAATCTAGCCACAAAATTAAAACACAGAGAGCCTATAATTCATTTAATATTTCAGGTAACTATTAACAACATTGAATTTTGTATCTGTACACCTGAAATCCTTCTTTAAGCATCAGTATCACCCTTTGCCATTCATACCAGAGTAAGAATTTTTACTTTCCATACACAAACTCTCAACTGGGGATTTAAAATATTTATTTTATTAAATCTAAATCCAACCAGTACATCTTATGCCTTAATTTCTTTCTGCTCCACAGGTTTCAGGCGCTTTTTAATGATAAGCTCTCCCCTGGTTGTCAGAAAGGTGCTGGACACTTCCTCTTCTGTTGGCAGCCCATGGGGGAGCTTCAGTGGCTGTATTCTACAGGCAAAAGAATATGTTTAGTGAAGTCCTGTGACTAGAAGGGAGTTACATTAAATGTTCCAAATAAACAGTTAACAAACCTTATCAGATGTTTAACAACTTTCAGTCTGGAATTCACAGAAGGGATATTTTTGTGCAGTCTTGGCTGATGTGCCTATGTAAGGGATAAAACAAGTTTTACAAATGTGTTGCCAAATCCCAAATCTTTGTTTCCTGAACTTTGCACACCACCAGTACAAAAATAAACCACATTTGCAAATGTAAGATTTAGAGAAGTGCCATGCATCAAGAACAGACGTAAAAAATATGCAATCAAAACTTGATTCCAGTAAAAAGACAATTTCAGCTTTATTCCTACTTCACTATAGATGCATTTTTCTTCCAACTAAAAATATAGTTAAAAGTACTGTAAATGTAAATACAAGAGTTTAGGGGCAAAACTGCTTTTTTTCAGTTATATCTTAAATTGATCAAGCACACTTTTTTTTCCCTGTAATATAACACTGACTAGACAAATCTTTGCATAATGTACAGTTGGCCTGAAAAATTCAGATAAACACATCTTTGACACAAACTTTTAGAGTCCTGAATTTGGAAGCCTTTTCACTGATAAATGAGTTTTATTTGCCTTCCTACAACTTCTGAATAATATGACCTGCAGAGACCTGAATTCAAAGTATTTACAAACCTATTTCTATTATTTTAGAAGAATTCTCAGGGTAAAGTTCTCCTCAGGCAACGCAGCACAATACCATAAAGAGATATTCTGAATTCCCACTAAAAGCACATTTGCCACAAATATTCCCCTCAGCTCTTAAACACATCATCACCTTCTCAGATTGCTTTATGGCTGCTGTAAATGTAATTCTGGTTTGTGACTGCAAAATGGAGGTCTTTATAAAACCCACCAACTTAGTGCTACATTTCTGACATACACGAGTATAAAAAAAAACAATCATACTTTATCCAGTCCCAGATCACGGATTATCTTCTTTTCCCAATATGGGCGACCAATTACACTTTTTATTCTAGTAATAACATGGATTTTGTGGGGCTCCTCAGGGTCACCTCCATACTTTTCATGATCTCCAGGCCGTGGCTGAAATACCTAGAATAAAAAGTTCACAAAACCAGAGGTTTTTTCCCTAAATATCTGGTCATCAGTACTGCAGTTAACTACTGCCCTAAAACGCTTCAACCTTGGTAAAAATTCTTACATATTTTTCTTTTCAGGCAGTCAAAGCACCAACAAAGTGACCTCAAATTTAACTTCTATAACATGAAGTCAAACATATTTCTATAATGGTTTGCTGGTAAGTATAGTAACTCTAGAGTTTACCCAGAGAGTGGCACAGAAATACACGGACAACACCCTGTACCAGCACAACACCTAATTCACATGCATTTTATCAGGGAGCCTGTGATCAGCCTCTAGATGACAAGTTTTTCCACAAACTTTAAGAATGCTTTTAGGGAAAAGAATAAACTGACACCAGATAAAACAAAAAATAAATAAAACTAAAACTATAATTATAAAAAATGTAAAATGCAAGTCAAGCACATACCGAGTCTGGAATATTGGACCTGGTAAAGAGACAACGAACCCACACCGGGGACGCCATCCCCTCCATCCTCTTCCCCAGCACCTGCAAGGAGAGGAGGGCATAACTTGTCTGCACTTTCCTTACCACTATAAACATCTGGGAACAGATGACACAGCCACGAGTCCCAGCCCCACCTGGATCCCCACCTGAATTCCCAGCGG